CCAGATAACACAGTGCTGGGAACATGAGCTCTCAGTTTATGGCTGCAAATATTATGATTTGCACTTAGGTATGATTCAGTATCTTTTCAGGGTAGAGATGATTGCAAAATAGAACATTTGAGTAGGCAAACATTTGGATCACTATTCTAATTGTGAGTTAGAAATTAAAATAACTATTTTATATGATAAATATAGGTATCAAGTCATATTGTAAACTGCTTTCCAGCTAAACCAAGTAACTTAAACATATTTCATTCTCTGTTCTTGCAGTTCGGGTTTTGATTTTACAAAATTTGCAAGAAATAACCCTTCATTGGAAGGAAAGGAGGAAGGAAGGAAGCAAGGAAGCAAGGAAGCAAGGAAGGAAGGAAAGAAATGGGTGATAGAGAAAGGGGAAGGAAGGTCATTTCTAAAATATTTTATTTTTTATTAAGGATTTTCAAGGGGGAATTGTTTAAAAAGCCACTTTAATCATTGTCAATATAATTTTTTAAGGAGAGCATGTTTAAAGGACACCCTTCTCATGATTGTACTGATCGCCGGTCATGAACCAGTGGCATTATGTTCATAGACAGCTTCCAGAACGTCTTGGAACTGTCTGTCAGGTCACTTGTTTCTTCTTCTTCCATAGGAAACATGAAGTTTCCTCTCCAGGGGTATATATTTTTACATTAAATGTAGAGGTTTTTTCTTTTCTTTTTTAAAAAATTGTTGTTCAAGTATAGTTCTCTCCATTTTCACCCCACCACTTCCCCCCACCTCACCCACCCCCGCCTCCTGCCCTCAATCCTACCCCCAATCCTACCCCTCTTTGGCTTTGTCCATGTGTCCCTTATACATGTTCTTTGACTTCCCTTCCCCTACTTTCCCCCATCACCCCCCTTTCTTCTCCCTTCTGGTCACTGTCAGCTTGTTCTTTATTTCAATGTCTCTGGTTCTATTTCGCTTGCTTGTTTTTTTGTTGATTAGTTTCCACTTATAGGTGATGTCATATTGTATTTGCCTTTCACTATCTGGCTTATTTCACTTAGCATAATGCTCTCCAGTTCCATCCATGTTTTCAGAAAGGGTAGGAGCTCCTTATTTTTTTCTGCTGCATAGTATTCCATTGTGTAAATGTACCAGAGAGATTTAATATTTGACCAAAGGCCACATTGTGGGAGTTAGTGTTAGATCTGAAAATTCAAAGTTAATTCCTTCTAGCAGGTCACTTAATTAATATGTGAAATACAGTTATGAATCTGAGGGAAAAACAGAACATTAAGCCCAAGAAGGAAGGTAGTTACAATATAACTGAAACCCATCTTGACAGTTATTTTCAATAAGCAAGGTGATAGTCACTTACTGAGTATATCCTGTGTACCCGTCTCTCACTTGGAGCCTGGAAATGAACTGTGATGGGAGAGGGTCGTGTGTGGAAGGAAAGTACAGTAGCGGGGGGTTCCGTGGGATGAAGCTAGTTTCGTAGACTGGAAAGAAAGGCTATCGATGTCAGAGCCAGGACGGAAAATTCTGAATGTTTTGGTTTTCAGAAAGAAACTTTAGAACTGGGCAATAAAGAGAGAAAAATTCTTTTCAGAGATGTAAAATGACATAGAAGTTAATTTCAGGAGTGTTAGAGGAGTAATATGAATTTTTTCAAAGATATAGAAATGAAAGTAGGGTTGTTTTAGGCTGATCGCCTGCGTCTGGGGTTTGCTCTCTCAGATTTGCTAGAAAATGTTATATTGAGTTTTTGCTATAAAGAAATAGACATTATTTAATACTTATTTTAATCCCAACTGAAAAATAAGTGTCTTTGTACATCTTTCTAACTCCTTCAAATGACCTAATACTGAAAGCGCCCCTCTGCAGGAGGAAACTGAATGGCCACGCTTCTGTTTTTACAGATACACACAGCCCTCTTAATGCGCATTGCCTGATACAAGCCCAAGAGAGGCTTTTAGAATAAGATTGTCCTTGAATTATGTCCCTGGGCTGAGTAAAACTGAAAGTTACCAGCAAATGTCACAAGCACAAAACAACTGCAGCCCAGGATAAGAAAACACTGAGCCTGAAGTCCCATTCGCTCAGTCTGAGCCCTGTGGACTCAGGTTCCGTTGCACTGGAGTCCCTCACCAAGCAGAAGGGCCTCCCAGCCTCCAGGGAGCCCCCACACCAGACGATCCTCTTCTGGGTCACATCCAGAGGTCAAGGCTTCCTTCTCTGGGGAGATTCCGATTGCCTCTCTAGAGCGTTTTTATCCTGCCTTTTCCCAGCCCACCAGTTCTGATGATCAGATTTCTTTGATGATGGGGGGTCCAAGAGTGCTTCTGGGAGAGAACTTAAGTGTGTTGTTCTCTTGTCTGCACGTGGACCCCGGATTCTCTTGCTGGGATAATGCTTTCGAAAGTGATCTGGCCTACCCAAAATCATAAAGCCCTTGAATTTGCCTGCATATACTAAGCTTATCTAACTTATAGTATCATTTTGGGAGGTATTTCCTACCATTCTGGTGAGACTTTTCTAGCAGTTTTTAGGGGTCCAAGGTGGCCCCTTTGATCAGTTAGCTTGGATAGGAACAGGTTAGCTGCATCCAATCTATATTCCCAAACAGAGCAGAGTCTAAACCCACCAGGCAGTACATTTATCTTATGGGTTGGGAGCAAATCCAGGTCTTCAAGTGTTCTGAGATGGAATGCCCAGTGATATACCAGTGAATGGACGAGCCACCTCTCCTGCCTGGCCTCTCTGCCCATTCTAGTCATGAGTGTTCCTAGCACTCCATATCACTAAGACCCCCGATAATCAAAGGGGCCAGGTATTTTCAATTTATCAGAAGGGGACAGACACTTTTCAAGGCTTGGAAAAGTGCCACAGTGAAATGCCTAAATAAGTGAAAGTGCTGAAGGATTTCCTGTTCCCTGCACGATCTCAAAGGTCCCTGCCAACTCTAAATTGTAAGGCTTTCGTGCTTCCAGTTGCAGAGAAAATGGCAGAAGTAGGCTGCAAAGATGAATAAGCATCTGCTAATAACTGTATAGTGTGCAAAGTGAATGGATATAGTTGACTCAATAAATGCATTGAGCACTTACAGGAGTCACCTCTGGCTTAGGTCTTGGGGATAGAACAGGGTCTTCACTCATGGAGCCTTCATTCTGTTGGGTTGGCCAAAAAGTTCATTTGTTTTTTTCTGTACAATGGCTCTAATAGCATTTAGTTGTCTTTAACTTCATTCAAAACAATTTTGTTAGTTTGTATTGTGACAGCTGTCATATCAGCATGCATTTAAAAAAACTGATCAAAATTAGTGAATTTTTATGTAGCCATTTTAATACTGAAGATAGAAGAAAATAGCAACATTTTCAGCATATTATGCTTTATTATTTCAAGAAAGATAAAGACACACCTGAATGCAAAAAAAAAAAAAAAAAAGATCTGTGCAGTGTATGGAGAAGGTGCTGTGACTGATCAAATGTGTCAAAAGTGGTTTGCGAATTTTTGTGCTGGAGATTTCTCACTGGACGATGCTCCACGGTCAGGTAGACCAGTTGAAGTAGATAGTGATCACATTGAGACATTAATTGAGAAAAACCAACATTATACTAAGCAGAAATAGCCAACCTGCTCAAAATATCCAAATCAATAAAGTTACTGGTAAAAATGAAAAACATGTATTTTATTTTATAGAAGAAAACCATACAAACTTTTTGGCCAACCCAATCACAACCTGATGTGGGAGAAGAAAGCTCCCAGGACCCCCATGGCACTCACAGCCCCTCATTCTGCCCCTCGGAGGCTCTGTGCCTGTCCGCAATCCTGGAGTCTGGGGGATGCTGCCAGGGAAGCACATTGGCCAGACTGTTTCCTTCATAGACAAACCTAAACTGGCTTTGGATTGCCCTCCTTGCCCCCGCCCCGTTGGATGCCTGCACTTCAGACCATTTTGTTCTCTGTTTGATTCTTTATTCCAGCACCATGTCCACGGGTAGCCAGCCTGGAAATGGAATATGCACTGGGGACTGTCTGAAACTGGAGGCTGATTATTTATCATGTCACCTTTCCTTCGTTTTCCTTTCCTTGTTAGGCTCCACCACCTAAGTAGATCTTTGGATGTGTTTATCACATATGCCCCACTTGGCTCTGTTTACAAAAACCATAGAAAAAAAATGCACACTTTTCTCCCCTAATTTTCTAATACTTTCCTCTTAGTCTTCCCAAGTGGCATAAAAATGCATCCACTTTTACTGCCCCAGGAAGTTAATGAAGAGGCCTCAGGTTACATGTTTAGTACCAAGTATTTTTCAAGGGAGTTCTGATACATGGCGTGTGCATCACAAAATTTTTAAAACTTGGTTTCCTCATTACGAGTGGTTTGAATTAAAATGAGAAATAGCACACTGGATCAGAACCACGGCTTGATCTGGCCCTTGTTCTTCCCTGGGTCACTGCTATGTTTTCATAGAATAAGGGTATTTCCTTATGTTGTCACCTCAGAAGTTAGGGATGTGGTCCCTCCACCAAGGAAGTTAGGTACTCCTTTCTCTGAGGCCCATCTGGACCTTATGTATATAGGCACAGCACTCAACATGTGTGTTATAAAATGTTTGTGTACATATTTATCATCCATCTGGCATATGAGCTTGGACCGCACGCTTCTTCATCTCCGAAGCCCAGTGCTGGGCACACATCGGCATCCAATGAGTGTTCATTGAATACACACATTTTTAAAATTCCTTAAATATCCTCATTATAAAGTAACATAATTATTAGTTATATAAGCTTATTATATGTCCATGAACTCACTGAAACTGTTTTTGAAGCTTGTTTCCAACTGGTACCACCTTTTAACAAGTAGCATTAAGTTAACTCTCTGTTGAGTAAAATAGTGCTTTCTTTTATCTGTTATAAAAATATTTCCTTCCAGTTTCCTGGAGTTTTAACATAATAGTAGTACCACTTAAAAGCAGCACCTTCCCTTCATCATATTGTTTTTTTAATGATTCTTTCTTGTTGTTCAGGAAGGTGATGTCTGGCCCAACTCATCAGCGGAAATCACTGTGTACTTTAACCCTCTGGAAGCCAGGCTCTACCAAATGACTGTTTACTGTGACATTTCAGGTAAAGACTTCCTCTGCGGTAAAGGCAGTTACGAAGTGCCCAGAACACAAAGTGGGGTGCATCTGTCTGTGTGTGTGAGTGTGTGAGTGTGTGAGTGAGTGTTGGCTATGGGCAGTGCACGGTATCAGCAGAGGAATAATTGACTTAAGCTATGCACTTACTCACTTCTTTCTAGAAGAGATCAAACTTTGAAGTATATACTACAGTTGTAGTGTGGAAGGTTTGGGGATGGGAAACCATGAATCTGGGTTTCCTTTTGATTTTTAGACCAGTGAGAACATTCCTCGAACAGAGTCTCACAATTTATATTTTTGGTATTTTCATAGTATTTGGCTACTTATTTTTTTCCTTTCTAAGTTTTTATAAAATAATGTATGCCAGGTGGGATGGGAGGGTAGTCTGGCAGTGGCTCGAGCCACAAGGAGAGTGTACAAGTAGGGTGGCAACCAGATGGCTTCAGGAATTGTATATACAGAGAGGAATTAAGCAAAAAGGTAAATGTATTGAGAATACCAAGAGCCAGCATTTTTTGTTCTTGGAGAAGGGAACTGAAGATATGGAAAGGAGAAGGACTAAGATGAGCCCTCTGGTCTTGGAATGGAGTTGGAGTTACCATTATGAATGACAGTTGTTAATGTGCAGACTTATAGAAGAAAAATATACATGTATGCAAATGTGTGTATGTGCATACATATGCATGTTTCCCAGTCATGTCCATTGAGGTCCCGGAAGCTCTGAGACCCTAATAGCAATGAGCACACCTAGAACCCAAAGCTCAATTTCTAAATCCCCCTCCACTGAAAGGAACCTTAGAGAGTTAACTGGTTCTAGGACTAAAGCAGACAAAGAACAAGATGAACCTGGAACATCCTCTTGTGCTGGAAAGTAAGGGGACCTCAAAGAATGACAGAGAAATGTCAGATGACGCAGAAACCAGCAGAGGGACTCCCACTGACCAAATTTGGAGCAAGTTGAGAACCAAAGTAAATAATGACCCGAATAGATTATAATCCATTGAATAAACAGGACTCAGAATCAACTCAGTAAATCTTGCCATCTGGCAACCATAGTAATCACCAATTCAGGTAAAAAGCATCAATAGATCTTAAAACTAATGGCTGAAAATGGGATGTGGAATAGGATTTTTGTAGTCTCAAAATATTCCCCTTCAAATACTTATCAATTATAAAGAAGAGAAAATTAACTTTACACTGAAGAAAGCTGGTGGATGTGATTTTATTTAATACTTGTAGTAATACAGGAGATTACCTTCTTAGACCACCTGCTAGAATGTAATGAGAACACAGCATCTCTCTCTCTCTCTTTTTTAAAAGATTTTATGTATTTATTTTTAGAGAGAGGGGAAAGGAGGGAGAAAGAGAGGGAGAGAAACATCCATGTGTGGTTGCTTCTTGAGTGTCCCCTACTGGGGACCTGGCCCGCAACCCAGGCATGTGCCCTGACTTGGAATCAAACCAGCGACCCTTTGGTTCACAAGCCAGTGCTCAATCCACTGAGCCATACAAGCCAGGACTGCACCTCTTCAATGATATTAAAACCCAATACCTAACTTGGGTCTAATTATGAGGAAACATCAGACTAACCCGAAGTGAAGAATAAAACAAAATCACCAACCTGTAATCTTCAAAGATATCAAGATCATGAAAGTCAAGAAAAGGCTAAAGAACTATTTCAGAAGGAAGAGGCCCAGAGCAATACGATGTGTAGGGCAACGTATGAGCCTGGATTGGATCTTTTGCCATAAAGATTATTGGGCTAAGGATGTACAGAGGTTCTCTGCACTACTCTAGGTCCTTTTCTGTATTTTACAAGTATTTCAGAATTCTAAACACTTGCTGACTTCAGTGAATATTCAGATTATAAGATTATAAAGCTAAATAGCCATCCGTGTTTAGTCATTTCTTGTGGTATAATTAATTTTTCTTCCTAATTCTATTCTTTTATTGTTATTTGTTATTTTATCAACCTCACACATTACTTTTGAGTCCCCAGTATGATAGATGAGGATTTAGTTCTTACATCTCCTCTACTTCTTCCTGGGCTCATTGAGTTATAATTTACAGGCAGTGAAATCACCTGACTGGGGGGCATAGTTCTGCGAACTTGTACAAACCATAACAGTCCCGTAACAACCGCCATGAAGTCCCTTCGTGCCCCTTTGCAGGAGGTCCCATCCCCCATCTCAGTCCCTGGCAACCCAGTTGCTTCAATTTATGTTCTTCATTTTGTGAACTTTATTGACAACCTTAATTAATATACTTAAAACTGTATTTTGTGTTTTGTCAACCCTATAATATCTCTTGACTGGTAAGGATATTGAGACTCCTAACCTGCCCAACACCATTCCACCCTGTTTCTCCCTCTCACCTTCTGGGAGTTGTTTTGCTTTTATGTTGTCATGATTGACAACTGTAGTTGAGTCTTCTGTTTTGTCTACCTGAATTTTATGCACTGAAGGGACAAATCGTATTCACAGATTGCATCTTATCTCCTGTGGGTCAGCTGTTCTAACTTTTAATCACTCAAAGGATAGTCCTAAATGTGTATGAAGTACACTGTCTTTCTTTACTGTCCCTTGGTTTCTCACAGTTATGCCTCGTCTTAGCATACTTCATAATCGACTGGACTCTCTTGTACAGCTTTGGAGTTTTTCCCCTGTTGTTTCTAATTCCTCATTTCTTCCCTGCTATCTAATTTTAGGATTCATTCTCTTCTCCTTAAAGACATTTTTCTTAGAGCCCACCAGCTTCTTATTCTAATTCAGATGAGTCACCTCCTACACAGTTGTTACCCAGGATTTTAAAAAACTTCTGTGTGGAATCTAATGAACAAGATAACCTGATGAATGAAACAGAAACAGAGGCACGGACACATGGAATGGACTGACAGCTGTCAGAAGGTGGGGAGGGGGAGACCAGATGAAAGAAGGTGAAGGGATCAGCCAGAGGACATGTAAGTTTGGCACCGAGACACGGATGACAGTGCGGTGGTGGCCCGAGGGAAGGGGGGCGCGGGGACGGGGTGGAGGTGAGCAAAGAGTGGGGGAGCAGTGGGGACACCTGTAATTGTAGTAACTATAAAAATAAAGTTAAAAAATAAAATTTCCAATATGTGTTCCTTTACATCGTCTCTCTTTCACTTTGCCCAGGTAACCTCCTTAAAAGGGGAGTATAAAACAAATTTTGATTCTTGCATATCTGAAAATGTCTCATTATGCCTCCAAATTCACTCCCTAGTTTAGGTAATTCTAGGTTCAAAATAATTTCTCCTCAGAACTTTGAAGACATTGCATAAACTTTATTGTAAAAATTAAGAAATTTGAAGATCACCTAATTACCATTTCTTTATAGGTGGCCTATTATATCTCCCTCTGTGAAGTTTTGTCCAAAAATGGGTTTTTCTAATTGCTCCTCCTCAGCTTTCTAGGGCCATTTGAGTTTGATTACTCATATATCCTTCAGCTCTGGGAATTTTTTTTTTATTTTTACATACTTCCTTCCATTTTTTATTTTATTCTTTTGGAAATCTTAATAATCCAATGTTAGACCTACAGGGTTGATTATCTGTTGTTAAAGAACAAGATTTTAATCATCAAACATGAGTAATAAATAGCATTAAATACCACTCAAAGCTATTAAGTAAGGAAGCCCAGAGAAATACTGATATTCATTAGTTAGGAAATCCCAGAGTGCCATGGGCATCATGCCATGCCTTCATAGGGCTCCTTCCAATGCCTCCGGTCCGTGGTTGTCTGTTTGTGTATAAGGATGAGAAAATGGGTTTGATTTTCAGGGGAGCTCGTACTACTTGCCTTTGCTGTTTTATGTGTAAATTTCCAATGATTATGGCTGTGGTGACTATTTTAGACTTGGGAGGGGTTGGTAAGAGTGCACAATCCTTAGTGTTTTCAAGTGCAAAAATTCTACTTTTCTGCTGTCCCCAGAATGTTTTCAGTTACTATCTACACAGTCACTTTTCTCTGTGCATAGAGGGGTCGGGCAGTCTAAGAATAGTGCAGAAGGATGGGCTACCCTCCACCTCCCCCAGGGACATGTCCCTTCCTGATGATGTTTATCTCACCTTCCACTGATATAACTATCACCTTGACTTTTATGATAGTCATTTTATTATTTTAACATATAATTTTATCACCTATGAGTTCATCCCTAAGCCAAATAGTGTTTGCCTACTTTAAATATTTATATATTGAAATCATACTCCATGTCTTATGCTCTCAGCACCAGGAAGCTAAAGCCACTGAATAAATATTGATCAAATAAATGAAAAAAAAAAAAAGAAGGAATGAGTGAATGAAGCTAAGTGTGATCTAGCCTTTCCTTGCCCAGGACTGTGGGATTCTCAGCACGGACTCAGGATAAGCGCAGGACGCATGGGGGTTTCCGTGTTGACAGAAGTTTGTTTCTGCACTTCAGACCAGCATCGTCTCTCCCGGACTGCTTCGTGGGTCTGAAGGAGATGTTGGTGCGTCAGTATTCAGACACGGCTGGAAATGCTCCAGTGGCCCCCACGCCACAGGTGGTGGGATCTCCCTCCTCTCCGTGGCTCCCCTGGGCCATTGTGCTTGGCCAGATTCCAAGGGGGTTGGCTGCTCTCCAGGAGGTTCCCAAACATCACATAACCAGTTGTATCGATCTATTGTTCCATTTGCAATTCTGACTTCTGCCACAGGATTCACATCCTGGGTAAACTGAATAGTATAATTTTCCATCTGCATGACATTCTTCTTTATTCTGTTAGTGGTATTTTAAAAGACACAGTCTCTAGGGAAGGGTTTTGTTTACATAGTAATTCCATATTATCTTCCCTGTAATTCCATGCAATTCTGTGTGTCTTTTCAAGGGCCGTCAATGATTCCTTGTTATTATCTTCAAAGGGTTGGTAAAATCTTTTGGTTTTAGGTCTCTAAGAAATACTTCTTAGGCAGATTGAAAAGCTCCTACCCTTGCTTTATTTTATTT